TGACGAGAAGCGAAATGTTCGTTTCTTTTCAAGTCTCTTCAGAAACAAATGTGTGGATTATTCCTGAATGAAAGATTATATTGAGTAGAAAACAACTGTAACGTTCATATTCCAAATAAGATATTTCTCGTAGCGAACAACAATAATTAGCAGTAATCTAAAATCATGGATTACTAGTCTACAAACAAGTGCGGCTTCACCTTTTTTCTTGGTCATTATCGAGACATTCATTCCGTGTAAGATGAATTCGCAATGCAGATGAAGTTGGGTACGATTGGTTTGCTTTGAGTGGACAGAGAAATGGAAAACTTTTCTGCAGATTTTCAAAAAGAGATTGCTATACTAGTATGCACAATTTATCGTGCACAGAAGTTCACATCCACATACAAATGCATATATAAGCACAAATGATAGTAACTATTTAACAAGAATATATCAGTCCTCTCCATGAAATTAAAAATGATTAACTGAATCAACCCTCCCAACAGTTTACAGCGTCATCGTGGCTGGGAGGTGTTCCTGGATGTCGGGCTACGATGTACAGCAGGGACCCACTCTCCTGTCAGGGTCTTCCAAGCTCAGGAGTCCGGCGTTTCCATCAGGAAGTCCAGCTGAGAGTAAACCAATACCAGGATCCACTACCATCCTAGTATCAAGGACGCATGGTGGCAAATCTCCCTCCCATCCATAAGGGCTGCATCTGCGTGTGGTGGGAATGACTTGGGGCAGACTTTGGGCAGGTTGACGAACCACAATGATTGAACCAGCAAATCTCTGGAGAATGGAAATTATGCTGGGGCCCGCGAAATTAATGAGGACGAACCATCAAAGTATAGAAGTAGGGAAATAACTGAATTATCTCAAACCCAGCAAGATAAAAGTTTGCCTATTCGTCTCCACCAAATCTTGTACTTCTGAGAGTCACAGATCTGGGGACATCTCTATAGGAACCAAACTAGTTTTGAGGTCGTGGAATTTGGCAAAGGTATTCTCTCGCAGGAGATGATTCGTCTACCTGAGCGATTAGCATTCAGATGGTCTAAGACCTGTAGAACAAGGAGAACGTGAAATAACTTCCCATTTGGGTTCAAAAGGTTCTTCCTGATGCTGGATGCGATGATGAGTGGCTGTCCTAACAATGTTGTACTGTACGTGGACAGTAGAGCGTGCCGTACGCTTTCCCTTCACTTTATTGGTCCTGATTCGGCTGTGTTGATAGCTTTGTTATGCGATGCCAGATAAATAAACGCGTCATATTCTAATAGAGCATTGATATTTCACTTTTCGTCGCCGGATCTTCCACATACTCCTGTGGAACACTGTGTTTCTCGACCCTCGATTTCCGCGTTAGTCTTTCACATAGACGTAGTCGTATTCACGCATAAGTGCGTGCCAGTCTTGCGTGTATAAAGAATGTTTACTCAACAAAAATATCGAGAACTATAGAGGAGTTATTTCCACTTTCTTAACAGTTTTAGATGTTCAGAAACCTACGTAAGTAGAACACTAATCTTGGAATGGAGTTATGGAATATCTTTTCAAAGGTAGAATTTGATGATTTCAACGCTACTTTCAATAACCACATAACATATTTGCATTTATGGTTAACCAGCAATGACATGCGTATGCGTGTTTTTTACAGTTCTCATGCAAAATTACTTGGATACTTTGACGGTCCTTCTTCACGAGTTGTGTGGACCCCAGCCCACTTGCCATTCGCACCTTTCCCTCGCAATTGTTGATGGTGGTGATTTTATTCGAACATGGTGGCACGTGCGATTCTCATAGCGTGCTCTGTAAAGCAAACGCAGCTGCATGTACAACTGACTAACTTTGGTTACGAACACATCCACACAACGTGTAAGTGACCGTCCTTGAGGACGCCTGTAATCTCGTGGAGTCCACACTGCAGTTCTTTTCGTCCATCTGTCGTCTGTTCTTCTCATTATATGACCGCCTCATCAATGTTTCCCTGTCGATGTATATTCTCCTGGATCTCGAAGATGTGAGAGATTTCGAAGGTCAGAGGTTCGCATTCCGGCTAGATATTGAGAGTGCCGGTTGTATTTCAGAATACATTGCTCAAGCGCTCTATGAGTAGCGCAAAGCATTCTTGAAGTGATTGAAGTATCAACCCACGTCTCTGCAGCATAACAGAGCGCTGGAAAGACCGCAGAATCGAAAAGATGAGCGCGGATTTTCAAGCCCTTCAGTTGGCCGGTGGCTTCTTTGAGAGGCCCAATGCGACCAAAGCTGCTCTCATTGTTCTATCTAATTCCTCCTTCATATTGTTTTTCATGTTCATTGTTCGCCCAAGGCACACGCACAAGGTGGTCTCTACGATGAGAGAGCCATCCAATTCAATTTTTTCGCCTTCGCACCATGGGTTTTTCATAAACTGGGTCTTCTTTCGATTTATGCGTAGTCCGATCCTTTTCCCCGCTTCGTTGAGCTCGTTGATCATCATCTCTGCTTCGCTAGCACTTCTTGAGAAGATGACGATGTCGTCGGGGAAACGAAGGTTTGAAGGGAATCTTCCATCAATACGTATGCCTTTCTCATCCAAATCAAATGACTTCATTATCCACTGCAATGTGGCACTAAACTCCGTTGGAGATATTGTGTGGCCTTGTCGAACTTCTCCAACCATTACATGTGTCAAATACCGTGGGTGGGTCCTTATCACCACATTTTAATAGAAAGAAATCCCACCTTTGTAGATCATCTTTGATTGCGTTCTCACTCATCTGTGACTTCACGTTACCCCTGCCTTCCTGTACACCTCAGAAACACGTTGCCATTTAGGTAAGATGAAAACGTAGCCACCATTATCAAATGCGCTTTTGAAGAGAGGATATCTCGGTTCATAAAGGTTAGGGAGGATGGGAGGGTGGAGGAAAGTGGGAGAACACTCGACTGCGAAGGGTAGAGACTTTATTGACTCTCACTTGAGCCACTTTAAGAATAATATGTGGGAAGATAACATAGGTCATTTAAGAAAGGCGATAAGGCATTAGGAGTTGATGAATATCTGAGAGAAGCGTTATGCATTCGATTTCATCAAGGGATGCAGAGCTGCCTAAATGCATATCTAACGGCAACAATGACTTGATGTGACTAATCGATGCAATGACTCAGTGTTTTTATCCACTCAGACAAGTCTGCGATCACTGTGCCTACTAGGAGTAACGGAAGGTTTGGTGAGCAAGAAGTGCGAGATCGTAATAGCAACCCATCCGTCTATTATGGGGCACCTCTGAGCACTGCGCTACACGATCCCCTCATATATGATTTCGAAGTGGAAATAGATAAAAGTAGGATGGAAATGCAAAACCAACGATAAAGACTGCATGGGCTCACGGCAGGGCATGCAAGAGCAGAAAATTCTCTCAGTGGCAGGACTTCCGCATGGTACCGCTAATATTAACCTTAGCTTTGGTTTCAAAGACTTATAACACAAGTCTTAATAAATGTAAAATGCTACGCGTTACGGTTATCTTCCAACGGCTAAAAACAACATAGCGGAAACTATTATTGAATTGAGTTACGACACCGACACTAAATTGATATGTAAGAATTGCAGATCTTGCGGAAGAATCATAGCTGTGTTTTATCTTTTATTTGCTTCCTATTACAATTTTTCACGGCAGGATATTATACGAAATACAATCATAACAATGTTGAGCTATTTGCAAACATCCGGACCGCAGGTATCTGCAATGGGGAACGAACGCGCTATTACTCTCTCCGAGGGTTAGCGCGTTCACGGCCACACCATGTGGGACCTTCGTTTCGCCTGTGTTTCAACTAGTTTTATCGATCACTGACATTAGCAATAACCCGGTCCAGCCCGGAATTTTGCAAATAATCACAGCTATCTTACAATGAAAAATCAAAACAGGTTGAAAAATGGATGCCGTTGAAGCAAAATGCGTTGAAAATATGCAATCCACAACGTTTAGCACAGCATCTGACCAACTTCTTACTTATAACAAGAAGTCGATGGTGACCAGAAAAGAAAGGAAGAAAAAAGTGGAATTATTCACTACAATCTGAGTAGTTGTTTCAACCATTCGAAGTGGAGAGAAATTGTACTTCATGACACCACATTGTAGCGGCGTATAAATACTATTATTGAAATTGCATTAAGTAGCTACAAGTGTCTCTAGCCAGTTTACGCGTTTCACGCTGACTAATTTCGCTAACTTCTTTCGAACGACGATTTCATCAATGAAGAAGTCTTTCTAAACGTTCCCAGCGAACTATCGAGTCTAACATTCGACTATTCTATCGACATGAAAATAAACACCGTTCTCTTTGTTCACAACCATGCACATATCCTCATGGTCAATTCGATTAACAAAACTTACTCAAAGCTGAGTAACTGCACTAAAGTTAGTGATTAAAAACTGCTTAAAATCCTTTCGCCAACTTCACGGCAAATGACCAAGATCAAGGTCAGATGTCAGCTTTTAAAACCGTCCATCTTTTTTTTTACAAACGTTTCATTATGATACCAGATAGATACATAGATGCAATATATAAATGTTCCTCAGATCAAATCTAAGAACATATAATAGACGCACCACACGACTATCACAAAAGAAACGTATGCACAAACAGATAGCATCAATAGATAAATCTATCAATACACCCAAGTGATCATGGAGAAAAGAGCAGTGAGTAAAAAACACCAAAGGTTTAAAGAATCGGGAAGAAATGTCTCGTCGGAAATACCAGCTTTACATCTTTCCACAGTTCAACTTCAAGCTCTCGACAAAATATTTCTGGAAGACTTCGTTTTCTAGTAGTTAATATATTTAACCTTACCATGACTAGAAGGTGTACAAAACAACAGGTTCCAGTTAATATCATACGAAGATGGTCATCCGAAACTAAACCTTTGGAGAAAAAATGATTTAAAAAGGTACCGGAAGAGCAGGCAGAAATCTATACAGGTCTAAGACAAAAGAGGAAAAAAGAGTATGACCCGTTGTAGTTCATGCCTGGACATCAACCAGCTCAGGAGGAAGTGGAGCCTTCGGGTGTTTGCTTTCGAAATGCTGCTTATAAGTCTTCGGATCCGGCATTTGTGCCTGGAATATTTAACTCATATATTAACACATACACAGTTATGCATACACAAACACACACACACATTATTATGTACACATATAAGAATGTTTAGTTACTTTACGGCTCTCCAAGTTGTTTTGAAAAGGAAAAATTTGAAACCATCATTTAAATCATCATTGCTCTGGATCTTCTTCAAAACCAAACAGAGCCACACCACACAACATATATACATATATATATATATATATATATATATACACACATACTCATACCCATACACTTACACATACACACAAACACACACACAAACAGAGCTCCTCCTAACAAAATCGGAGAACAACTCCAAGAGTGGTGACAGCTATTTTTTTCATTTTCAGAATTATAAACTCAACATAACTCGTCGAGATTGACTTGTCCATTGAGACTATTAAACATTCTCCCAAATACGAACATAACAGTTCCCAGGATCGACTTTCTATTAACCTCGGCATTGGATTATAAATTCGTTGTTTTTCCTCTCAGCAGTCGCGAAGTTGTTAAACAGCATATGTTTACTTCCATACAATAACACACATACAACACAATCGCAGCTGACGTTTCGGCAGTATCACCTTCAGAGCCGTTTTTACGCGCCCTCCACTGAGGAAAAGCCGCTGGTTAGCGTCGCATATGCTTGACGACTACGTGCATGATATATGTATACTGTATGTATATGTATATTATATATATATGGTTGATTGTTTGGATGTATATGTATACTCTGTATATGGTTGACGCATATGGCTGAGTCATCAACCATATGCGACGCTAATCAGCGGCTTTTCCTCAGTGGAACGCACATAAAAACGGCTCTGAAGGTGATACTGCCGAAACGTCACTTGCGATTGTGTTGTGCGTTATTGCATGGAAGTAAACGTATGCTGTTTAACAACCTCGCGACTGCTGAGAGAAAAAGCGACGAATTTATGAACTTAACATTTAACAAGCAATGGACCCAGATGAAATCGTTCAATACTTTTATGGATAGAAGATAATCTTATCCAAGCGTTCGTTCGTAATCTATAGTGCGAAGTCCTGTATTGTAAAACGCAACGTTTAGGCGACTGTACTTTTTAAAAAAAATGTTATGATATCATCACACGAGAGGAGCTCGGTTAAACTGTGTGAACAATCAATTCACATTTAACAGTGTAGACTCCAGTTTGAGATAAAGATTGTAAAGAATGTTGTGGGATCAACGACTGATATCTCGTTAATTCTGTATAGGGTGATGGTAGCGCAGTGGTAGCAATCCCAGTCACTATGAGGATTGCATAAGCCACGCAGCCGCTGGTTCGACGCTGCGCCTAGTCAAACAAGTCTCTCATCCCCTTCAAGATCAGGAAATTGATCCTAGATTTCCATGCAATCAAGTCACTCTTTGTAATCCGTGCGCGAGCCACTTGGCATGGCCATCTCGGGATTCCATGCAGCACTGACTCGAAAAGCACTCCACGACATTGATGGCGAAGACAAAAGTATCCTCCAAAACAGCCGAACCCACGCGCAAAAAATTTCAGCTACCTCCGAGGATGGTGGTTGCTTGGAATCGCATGCAGCAACTGCTGCGATACGCGCAGTGTGGCTGATACTTGTGACGTGCAATTTCCGTAAAAGTGCAATAAAGAATGCTTTTAAGCGAGTGTGCAAAACTCCTACCCAATAATGAAGTGAACTAAACGGTCAAAATCAAAAATTCTGAAGTAATGAACCAATTGGATGGCCCTGCAATGAGTTAGCACTTCGTTGAGGTTGAAGAGTACTCTTAGATGGTGAGATTCAATGACATCCAGTATATTCTACGAAGTTGAAAATGAGTCCGACAATAACATCAAAAACACAGCTAAGTGTAAACCAGTACAAGCAATCAATGTCGTCTTCGTAGCAACCCAGCCAAAGAAATGGTTAATTTCGTTCTGACTCTCGAAAGGAATCGAGCGCCTGTGGCATCAAGAAGAAAAACGCCAAGCCCGCTATTACAGCGCTCCACGAGAAGAACACTGTGTCCAGACAGAAAACCACCACACAAATTGGAATAACAAACGTTCGCATGCACATTAACAAGAACAATAACAATGAAAACCATATGTTTAAAAAAAGAAAATACCATGCAGATGATACACTTATGATGAAGGGCTTTAAGAGCAGCTCCTTTCTGATCGCAACTCTGTGACTTTTTTGCAGCCTCGGCCCTTTTGTGTGCTCTTTGCTGCGCTTGGATCTTCTGATGTCCACGTGCCATAGCTCAATTGAGAACAGATTCAATTTAAAACGATATAAAAGCTGAAAAAGGAAAAAAACTACAAGAAGAATGGTAAATATACAAGGGAAGACGTCGGAATTTGATTACGAAAAAGATTCTAGTGAATAACTGATAAGCCTAGCTTTGATAGACACATTACCACAAAATGTTGTAAACAGAAGGTTTCACAAGAAGATAATACAAAGAGAAAGATTCAGAAGTGATAAAAACATGGTAACAATTTAATTGCAGCAGTGAAACTTACCAGCTCGGAAGGAAAGCCGACGAGACCGCTCGAGAAGCAGCGGAAGGCAAAATGATGTATACCTAGGAAGATAGGAGAATAGCAACGAAGAGGAAAACTACACCACCTTGGAGGAAGCTAGACGAGACCGTTCGAGAAGCAGAACAAGAGAAAATGAGCTGTACCTAATAAGATAGGAGACAACAGTAACGAAACTTATAATCAATCAAACTTTCTCAATCACCATACATAACAGTTAGTGTAAAATTCGTTTTCAAACAGATCCGAATAAACTGAGCTCTACTGTGGAAGAAAATCTGTTAAGGACCTACTTGCCGTCAAACACGGTTGTTGAGTTCGCAGCGCTCCAAGTTTGCCTCGCTCACGGTGGGTTTTGGTGGTCCTTACAATACTACACACTTGATATGGTTATATCTCCGACTATTCGGTAATCGTTTGAAGCATTTGTGTAATCTTAACAGAGTTCTGGGTTTATTAATGTTGAGATGAAGATGTTGTGGCACACAAATGCCGACAAAATGCCGAATGTTTGGCTTGATTATGGGTGTGGTCCTGTCGTTGTAAAACTAAATCAGTTACGTTCTTAACGTTTTTACTAACCCAATATATAGTCTTCCTTTCTTTATCGTTATGAATTCTGCAGTAGATGGGACGAAAAGTATAGAAGATCTCAAATATGTTGCTAATTTTTCATGATTTTTCTCAGATTGCTGGACATCAGTCTTTACGATTTTCGGAAGATGTCAATGCTAACATTTTATTCCCAGTTCAGTAGGATTTGATCACCAGGAAACCAGTCGGTGTGTCTCATCATTCCACTATGTTCACTATTCCAGTGGTCAGTAGTGGTTCTACTGCCATGTTAGGTGATGTGATACTAATGTAATGCTGCGATGAATACTCCTTCTCCTTATTCACTTAAGCTTCATCGATCAGGTTGGAGTACCAGAACAATACGAACTTCTGATTGATAACATAACTAGAGGGATTCGTCTGCTTCCGATTTTGCTCGGCATTAATATATTTATCTTAACTGATTTTATTCGCTATTCGACGTGTTTAACCACTTTGGGTTTTTCAAAGAGTAGCTGTATGGAAGGGAAATCGTTGTCTGATGAGATTATTCTGAATCGATTCTGCGTGATGCTGTTGTTTCCATACCATATTAAAGACACATTGTTGTGGAAAGCCTAACCTACTGACGTCTTCCACAGTGAAGTCGACATTTCATTGGTTGATATTCGATGTTGCACCCATCGTACAGCAAAACCCATTTACTAGTAAGCTTAACATCTTTTTTTTCTTTTCATTTTTCGTTGTTTTCCTTAGAGATTGCACTAAAATGTTCTGGTAATCACTATATGTGCATAGAAGTTGGTTTGCCACATATACACCAACCAAAGTTCTAGCAGTCCATCGGCGATAACTAACAAAACCTTACTCTTACCTGGCTTTTTTGAAATTGAATATCTTCATTACTTCCATGATCTTATGGCAAAGTCTTTATCCGTGACGTTTATGTATGGGAACTTGTTTAATCACCCAAAACTTATGGATATTCTTCATAAACGTTGTGATGAATACTGGAACTGCTCTGACAGTTAGCTTGAATTATGCGTTTGCTTTGAAGCTTTCGATCTTGACTCTGGATTGTAATCGCTTTTGTGATAACTAGTTGATTCTATGAGGAATAACTTCTGTCTAGCACTTTTATTTCAGCACTTGATTTTTTAAATTTTTCGAGTCAATAGTTTTCTTCGAGGAACAAAAATTGCGGAAGAAAACCTGCTCTAGAAAACCACATAGCTTAGAGTTCAGTATTTCAACACTAGCTGGGAGGTGTTCCCGGGTGTCGGGGTGTGATGTACAGCGGGAGATTCACATCCTCTCCGTAGGGTTTCCCAAGCTTAGAAGGAGTCCTGGGTTTCCGCCAGGAAGCCTATCTAAGAGTAAACCAATACCGGGATCCACCACCGTCCTAGTATCTAACTAGTCACATGATGGCAAATCCTCCTCTGATCCACAAGGGCGGCGACTGCTTGGTGTGATGACGACCTAGTGCAAACTTTAGGTAGGTTGACCTCGATACTCCAGAGAACCACAATGGCTAAACTAGCAAAATTCCGAAACAATGGAAATTATGCCGGGGCTCGTACAACCAGTGAAGACGGGCCATCCAAGTATCCAAGTAAGTATCTCCACTTTTTATCCGATAGTGCTCTTATGAACATGTAGCACAGATGGTCTAATAGCGAATATGTTAGTGTGATAGAATTTCTGTGTTATCTTTGGACTGAGATGTAATTGGGCAGCGACTTAAAGAACGATTTGACATCCATAAATAGCACAATGATGTTTACCATTTCTGGTTGTTTACAACACCTTTTAAGAACTAATGGTTAGTAGTGAGATTATAAACTACAATGTTCGACTTCGTTCAGGTGATTTCTCATTGACTAATCTACTCCTGCGCTAACTACACTTAGCTGTTGATATGAGTTTTACTATCATAATCGTATCGTTTTGTTGATGAACCTCATTTCGGATCATTATGAAAATCATGTCAAATAATTTTCTACCTTCTTCTGTAGACATTGAAAAGAAGAAGACGAAGAGTTTGAAGTTTCACTTGCAAAATTCATAGTAGAAAACCGGTTGTAAAAATTAATGTACATAACAACAATCGAGTTCACAGAGCTAGAATTGACATGACCACAACCGGAGCGCGAACTATGATTATCTAGATTTTCGCTGCGTAAAAATCGATTTTTATAATTTCACGAATTTGTTAGTAAACAAACTATAGTGCACAGAATTGCAACAATGACTATTTAAGATCTAACTATAATGGGAAAGCAGATAGTATATCCGTGAAATGAAGTGTAACAAAAATTACATTTATATTGCATGAGATGGCATGCACCTAAAGGTTATTCACCTTTGGTATGTCCATCTTGTTCACGATATCGTAAATCGATTGCCGATTACGAACGGAATCGACACGATTCAGAATCGACGCCATCTGTTGCTGGAACGCCGTGTCTTCCGCTCGATTCTGGGTCATACGCTAAAATAGCCAGATGTAGAAGCGTCACTCTGTCATCGATCTGATCTCTTTGATGTATGGTTTTAATTTAGAAAAAGAAAAAAAAATGATCACCGAGGGAAAGGCTCAAATTAGACCACATTGATTGACCTTTGAGAGGTTACCTTAACGTCATAACGATAAACTAAACTTGTCGCGTTATCGCTATTAGTTGTGGTGATGCTTAGTAGTTGATTAGAGCCGCTGATTTGATAAGTACCTTGTGGAGAAAAAGGATATATCATTTAAAGGATATATTCGATGGATGACTTTCTACTGCTATCAATAAATATGTCTGATGTTGAACGACAGTTCAGACGATAGAATGACAATTTTTTTCTTAGCTCTAAATGATAACCCAGAGTAGTAGGCATGGTACTACACAGAGCTCCGTAACTTATGTAACGAATCCAATGATCGTCGTATTTATAGCATCAAATGGACAACATCTTAAAATTATATTTAGAAGTCCCAATCAAAATATCAATAGAAACTTCGAATAACACAAAAAGGCGGATTTATCGTCATCATTTAATGCCATTTCTTTTGTTAACTACAAAATGGTGTCAGTCACCCATGTATCAAAAATGTATCAATGCGATAATTAGGATATATATACATATGTAAATGTGTATATATATGTGTATATATATATATATATGCATGCGCCGAACCCCTTTATGTGAGGTCACAGGATTGGTCAGTCCATAAGCTAAGTAGTGCGTACTTTCAGTTGGATGATAAGAAATAGAGGGGCATTGCACAATCCACCGATAGTACACAATTCTGCAATAATCCAATAAGCCTACCGTCTATACTCACCAGTTATAGAAATCATAGAACGCTAGTCGAATAACGTTAGGTACTTAATGTCCTTGATGCGAGCGAAATTCACAGGGAGCAGTTCAGGGCGCAACAGGAGAAGTTATCACAGTCTCGAGTCACTCCATTAGGTCATAACGTCCGAAGCTGGTTTTTCGACAGATGACAATGGCCTGCCGATCAGTACAGTGTTTAAAGAGATGTGAACCACGCAGATTTGTAGAAGAGACTTTCCTCTATCTTTTTAATTGTATAAAATATTTTTATTCAGCACTTCACTCAACATGTTTAAAATCAAAACTTTTAAAAATTGAAAACAATTGGAATTTCTGAAAAATTGACGTATGAATGTAAGTCCCAAACGTAAAGGATACACTGAGCAACTGCACCATGTTGTTCTCGACGAAATCCATTCTTATTTATTGACTTTCCTATTCGAAATATGAGCCTTAACGCGAAAAAAATAGAGGCCATCATTATTGCATGAACTGTATTGTAACCAGTGCATGTCGGGCGTTAGGTGTTCAGTGAAATTGCAGCTACTGCACTTGACACACGTTAGTATGCACTTTATGCAAAAAAACAAAACTAAGGCAAATCTAAGCGATACACGCATTGTAGGATGGAAATCACGATGTTGAAAACTTTAAAAAATGAAAAAGTTGGTTGCGAAAAAAAACCACTGCGGGAAATCGGAGGAGACAGATGGTGATATAAGAGAACTTAGATAAGGCTTGCAATACGGTGGAACAAGTCGCTGAAATTACTAAGAAAAACAGCCTAAAATACCTCATGGAAACTACGTCGTCGCTTCTCACGTTCTTCCTTCTGTTGTCGAAGTGTCTCCATAAGTTTTTCGTTGTGCAATTTTATCCGTTCCTCCATTTTAGACATATAGTCATTCAGGTGGTCTAGCTGCGAGTCGAGTTTGCGGATTTCTGTATCTCGATATTATAAGCAAGACCAGAGTAAACGAAGAAACTGTACGAACTTCATTTTAAAACGATGTTAACTGCAAGATACGATCCGATCATCGATTAGACACAAAGGAATAGAAAAGCCATTTACCTTCTGTCTCTTCGGAGCAGTTCTCTTGAAGCACATCAAGCCCACTCTGATGATATGAGTTCGCTTCGTTGGCTTCATTAGATGCGCGACCACGCATACGAACCGCTGACTGCTTCTCTTCGGAATCCATAATCTGTGATTCCCTGGCATATTAGAAGAGAAGTCACTCTAAGTCGAAAATTTAAGACATAAAATTAACCGAAAAGTAATAAATTAGGATGATATATCTTTGGTCGTTTTAATTCCAACAACTGAACAGATTATGACTCACGACCGTCAGTAAACTGGCCGTTCCGCTAGTTTCTCGACTACTGTCGTTAATTTTCAGTAACTACCGATTTCAAAATTTGACAGACATATGGAAACAATCTCAACCTCTAACTCTAAAAACCTGCAGAATTTTTAAAAACTATAGCCTTTATTGCCCATGGTCTAATAGTTCATCGCGCCATTACGACCAGAGATGTTCGTGCATAGCAAACGGCGACGTACACAATCCCTTGAAACCCAGCAGAGGTGAGACGTTGAGGTAGAGGTGGCTGAGCGTGAGGAGAGGTGCGATTCAACATTTTCGTCCAGAATAGATTTTCTTCCTGAGAGTAAACCTATGTTACAGCAAGCTAACCATTACTATACCCTTGCTAAGAACACTAAACAAAAATCGTCATATCATAATGTGATGCTTTCTCTATCCTTTGATTATTGAAGCGATGTTCACTACAATCCATAAGGGTGATCTTTATTTTAAATTTCTTGGATTAGAATTCTTAAAGGCTGAAGACACGATGGACACACTGCTAGAAAGGCGTGAGTGTAGCGAACACCGATATTGATGACGACTTTGGGCGGCAATATCATCCCGTGCTGGACGAGGTACGAAGATGAACCTCTTCGGCGCACTGTATATACTTTAGAGCTTTTCATTACAATTAATTGAGATAACTGCGAATTTTTCTTTTTAAATATGGAGACTAAATTACTTATGGGCGTGTGTGAGTGAAGAATGATTCATTTGGTCGTGAATGCATTAGTATAACCATGTTCCGAAATAAATTCGAAGAGATTTGGTATACACATGGATGTACGTATGTACATATACAAATATATGAATTTTGGAAACTTATATTCCAAACATGTCCAGTAGCACGCCTGAGTCCCTACACGGATCTGACTCCAAACTACATTTTGACAAATTAAGGTGGCTAGAAGTAACCATTCAATGAAAACAGCCATCAAATATCGAAAGACTAAGTAGAATCTCTCAGAGTAAGAATAAAGTGAGGAAGATGACGACATGACAACGACAACAAGAAATGATAGATAGGAGGGGCGGTGCTCCGATTCCAAAACTGCGCAGCCGCGATCAATCAAATTGTATTGAGTGGTATACGATAGGCTAACTAACAGTGGATATAAAACGGGATCCCTGTAAAGCGAGAGTTCTCATGAAGTACACATAGAAGGGTTTCGATAAACTCACACAAATTTATCGTTTACAAAATTAGGAAGGATATACGATTTATTGTTGTCACAAAAGAGCAATGGTACTCATTGAAATCCATTCTAAATCGCAATTTCGTCGTGTGTTAGATGAAAATGCCATCATTTTTGTGGTTAGACAAGGCTGCCCTCGGAAATCTGCTGCAGCTGAGTTCGTTGTTAATGCCGGCTTCTGTTGCTTGCGCACAGACGGCTTTTATCCGCAGTATACACAATGAATGTGCAACCAAACAAACTATCTCCAACGGAATTACTGCAACGCCATCAACAACATCCGGTAACGAGCTATGGACGGGAAATTTAACAAACTACACAGTAGATATGGTATAATTACCATTGAAGAGCGAATATTTGGCGAAGACGGACGTTTACAATATACGGAACACTATCTCTTCTACGACACAAAACCGATATACAATCAGTGATAATATGTGCAGCACGGTGAGAGAAAAAGATAGCCGTCCTTGTCTAGCGGAACCCCCTATCATCGACCAAGCGACCATTAGCCTCATTCCTGAACAAGGCAAATGTTAATGACAATAAACCCCTAAACATACAGCGCACACCGTAAGTCATTAAAATCCAGCCGGCTATTTCAATGACCTGTAGCAATGGAAAGTTGCGGGACAAATATTGTGAAACATAAAGGTTTCAAAAAACGAGTGCAAATGACGGCTATTACCACATACTGTACTACTACAGATAGCACTACAGAGCTACGGGTATGCTATCTTTGCTAAGTAAATGACTCGATGACTCTATAACAATTCTCAGTGAGCTTTTACTTAATATGTTCTTTTTTCGCCGGCATAAAGAATCCATTGTACCAATCCATTTAAGGCTTCGTAAGCATCTTTAAGATGGTAATATCAACAACATTGATTTCTAATGTTCTAATTCAATTATTTAAAACACCACTGCTGCTACCATGATAAGCTCTCTTATCAAAACACACGAATCTTTCTATACGAAAAAAAAATCGAGGACATGGGAGAAGTTAAGAGCACGCATGTACTGTTTGAAAACACGCTAACAATAATAAACGACAAGAATCTCAAGCTAAGAAAGTGACCCCAGTTGGAAACGGTCATTGGCTTTCAGAACTTCAGATCTGGATCCAGTTAAATGGAAATCGTCCTTGAAACATGTTGAATGTCATGCAAACGTCAACGATAGCACCCGTTGACGAATAGTCTTCTACAAGGGCGTGAATAATAGAGATGAACGTGACAGCAATGAGGGCACCACACCCACTGCTGACTAATCACTGGAACTAGCTATCCAGTAGTAACTAAACAAACAAAGTAAGGAATGAGTAGGCAAACATTATGATATAAGGTGTATTTTGTTCTTTGGATTATAACCTATTAGTAATGAATGAACAACCATTTTGTGGACTGGAGCAACATCTATGGAGAAAAGCCACTCGAATCTAAAAGCGAGTCTTGCCTGTGTAACTCAATTCTTTTACAACATTTACCTGCTAACACAAAAGAACCACGCACAGAATAGTTTATTATTACTTCTTTGATTACCGTGGGGCGTATACGGTAATAAAAACCGAAGGTAACTGTAATCGATGGATGCAGAAAATGCCCCAAAATATGAGGGCTAAAACCGGTCTGAGGTTGTCGGCTATTGATAATGGACAGCATGGGCGTACCGTCATCAACCATTCGCGCACAACCTTACCTACACCTACACAAAAGCACACTTCCGCGCAAAGCAAATTGCGACTACGCATGACATATTGAGAAGCATTCTTGATTCGAGAAACAAATGTGGAGAACTTACGAGTAAACCGCTGACTTCTTCGTTCATGTATTTCGTGACACACTGAAACACCATGAAGGCCTTTCAAAAGGTTACAAACCGTAGCGAAGATAAAGGCTCTCTTAAAACATCTACAAATACTAGCGAAATTATAGCCAGACAGTATGCTAGATAACCTTAGGAAATCGATATAGTAGAACTGAAAACAATGACAGATTAACGGATTCAACTCAATAACAAGAAGGCTATCAGAATATTTTTAATAAAAGGATTGCTACAATAGGAAACAATACGTCCTGAATACGTAGGCTATGGTATTAATCACCACCAGGGTGATCTAAACATAGTGGACTTACAATAATAGAAAGTTTTTCTATTTTAAGTTTTTCTTGACAGTGCAAACCTATGCTCACCACTCTTCACTTTTAACAGTTACAAGAGAAACCTAACTTCATTTATCAGTAGTTGCACAAATACCTAGCGTTATCGAGAATATTACCTTATCTTTATTTTAATTTGGTCGTGCTTTCAACGAGAACCACTATGATAGAAAAGAAAACAACGATAACAAAACAACTTGCAGGAAACACTGCAGCACCTAGTGTTAAACTAGAATTTTAATTAACGAAAGGATCTCGGAGTCTGTCCATCTTGACAATCCGTCTCATATCGAATTTTCGAAGATTTATATTCACATAAGCTCCTTCAAATAATCGTTCAGCGAAAGCTCGACCTGCCGCGAGGGAATGCATCGCACTTCTGCAATAGAATGCTCTAAATCACTTAGATATCAGTTACTCCATAGCTTACCGTCAAAGTAAATTCTATTCACGATATCTTTCCTCTATACCTTTTTCTGTCAACCAAGAAAATAAGGGTTTTCAAGGCTACCACTTCGACATAAGTTTTAACAGATTTTCTCCTATTCAGGACTTTTTGGTAAGCAATACACTCTTTTAACGTATTACAAATGCTGATACACGTACACCACAAAAAAGCATACCTTGACCGCTAGCATAAACCTGAGCAGAAAGGCTTTCACAATACCTTGAAGTTACGATCTCGTAAAAGCAACAGAAGAGAAGGAAAGTGTGCACAAAACAAACACGCATGTATGCGTATATATGTAAATATATATGTAACTTCAAGCCTCACCGGTCTCCAAATCCACATAACATGTAAAGATTTTGATACAACGGATGTTCACCTATTACTGGACCACTGTCGAAAGTGTTAACATCCTGGAACCCACACCAAGCCGATTTTATCTGGAATAAGGTGATTATTATTTCCTCGAAAGAAGCTGATGAAAAGCAAAAACACTCAAATTAGTGAAAGTGTGGTGTAAAAAATTAACGTTCAATGGCCGAATAGGAGTACTTTACACTCGCCTTTGCAGTTTGGAATAGAGGCACTCGTCGCACAAGAACTGGCCAGATTTTCTCATAAAATTCGTCATAATCTACTTCAAGAGATTCGTCTTCGTTTACATTCTCCTCCCCCTACAACATTAATTAGCATTGTGGGAACTAATTCTTTAAAAGATAACGCAATCTTACTTGCATCAGAGTTCGGCTTACAACAAACGTATGTCCAACATCAACTTGTCGACAATGAATACCGGATGGATCGACAAGCAATGGCATGTCAACGGGAACATCTGGAGCATGGATAACGAAGTTCGTGCGTTTTCTGGGACGCACTGGAACTGGAACAGCGAGCAACCCATCACCCTTGCCTAAAACAGTCATCACAAAAGATTCCTCCAAAGATAAATCTTAAAAAGAGATTTTCCTCTGAAATTAAGTAAGAGATTTCCTTTTCAAAGACAACTACGCATGATGTAAAACAATACGACGGTAAACGGTTAAATTCTCATTAATGAAAACATTTCTCCTGCCTTTAATTCCACCCGCTCATTATGACCTTCCAAGAAAACCACATGTAAAAGCTAACATGAACAATAACTAATACCAATTCCGGCCAATTCAGCGATTTTCCCCGCCCATGGGTCAGCAGCATTTACAATAGCATGGGCTCGAATAGGTCGTGATGATGTGCCAGACATCTGCGGTCGAACCTGAACATTAACACTTATAAATTGCTAGTATTGTAATAATTTAGCCAAACTAGCAAACACACTAATACTCCAGTAATCCGCTGTGATCGCAGTTTTTCCTGATCGGCTATCTCGTGATCCTCCATTGCATGAGGATCAGCTCTATTTCGATTTCGTTCAAATTGAAAGTTTTCAACTTCGCCCTTGACATACTATAAAAACGCATTCACTATGGAAAATCCACAAATCCAGAAAAAAAAAGTGCGCACAATAAAAACACCTGTACTCCCAGCGTAACATTCTTCTCACGAATAGCTGATAGTAGCTGCCATGTATCAAATGTTCCCTCATTCTCAAGCCCTGAACCAGAAACAATAAAATGTGGTGGGCCAAATAACTGAAGACATAAACAAGAGTCAACTAACCTAGGCTCCCAAAAAGAACATCTTCGAAATCCATGAAGGGGAAGCGAGCTTTCAGCTCGTCTTTACTTAAGAGGGCAACACAAGCGCCTTTATCACTAGAAAGGTACTAACTCAACCATATCAAAATAGAAGGAACTATCATGCACATACAGCTGAGTTCTCCAGTTCTTCCTCATTTCCTCTATTTCAGAGTCAGTCCGAGCAAGGTAAAGAAATCCATTAGGAAGAAGATTTATATCTGGAGTAGCATTGTCTAAAAAAATAAAATCATGATCGTCTGATCCATTCAAACGCTTCCACCCAACTCTTTAGTACCGACTAACCTAAAATACGAAGGTGTTCTCCCGCATGACGAAGAAACTCGGCGGTGAATAAAGACATCTCAATGTGCTCAGGAATCGAAAATTGTTGAGATATTGCGCCAACTGAGAGCATTGTTGAGCACTGGTTGAACCTTCATTCGCTATTTTTCCGCACTTATAAAGGAAAATTGGAAAATCACAAGCTTACTTGTCGTTATTTTCCACAACGACCACTTTAAAATCTTCATCTCGAAAGCGCTCCTTTAGCCAATAGGCAACTGATGATCCTAAATAGAGTGCAAATAACAATCCTGTACATTCCGATCAATAACACAGATAATATACCTGTTAAACCACCTCCAATAACGACGACCTCGGCATGAAATGGAAACAGTTCGTAATCCAGTGTAGATTGCTTCATATGAGCGATCGGATTACGCCGCTGATATGCATCTCTGCGAGCCTATATGATGAAAAAACTACATTTTAGAAATGAATAAAAATTCGGCCTTCCTTCGGATACAAGTGGGAAATTGAAGAATGAAGGAAGACTTGTACTCCATTTCCTTTCTAATTAATCTTGTACAGAAACTCTGCCCGTCTAGAATCAGAAAAAAGCCAAGTCACCCTACGTGAAATATAACCTTATGATAAGTTGCAAACACGGCCGCTGGCTTTCATCACAATAACTGAATAATCAGCTAATCACCGAAAAGCAGCAGGCTGGCTTTGTGGACGCATACGTTAGTACGATTATTAGTTGACCTTGCGCTCACAGATAACACTAAAAAGCAACCTGTCCCATCTTCTCATAGAAAACCAAGCCAAAAACGATTTTTGATCATAAGCGGAACAACTTACTTAGAAACTTAGACTTGGACGGCTTGCCTTCACGAGCTGTGTGAACCCAAGCACATTTTCCATTCATTTGTCTGCCTCGTTGACGGCCATCCATGGTCGTGATTTGATTCGATTATGGTGGCGGGTGGAAGTCATATACCATGACCTGTTGAACGACTACAACTCCGAATCCAGATGTTTGAATTTATTTACGGACACGCCCCTCAAAGTGTAAGTAATCGTCCTAGAGTACGCTTGCACCCTCGAGGAATCCACTCTAAATTCTTTTCGCCCATTCGTCATCTGTTCTTCTCACTATACGACCGCCGTATCCATGTTTCTACATCGATGTGGTTTCCAAGTGTTCGATGATGAGATAAGACTTCGTAGATCCGAGCTTCGCATTCTAGTTAGCTGTTGTGTATGCTTTTTATGTTCCACAAGACATCGTCCCTGCACTCTGTGAGCAATTCGCTGTATTCTTGACGTTGTTGAAGTATCAGCTCACGTTTCCGCTGAAGAATACTACGCTGGGTGGACTACTGAATCGAAAAGGTGAGCGCAGCTTTTCGGGTTCTATATTTGGTCGGTGGCTTCCTTGAGAAGCCCAAATACAGACCATGCTGTTCTTCTTCTTCCTCCAATTCCTCCATGGTTTTCTCAATGTTCATTGAGCATCCAAGGTATATGTAAAAGATGGTTACTGCAATTAGAGAACCACCCAGTTTCATATGATCGCCTTAGCACCATAGGTTTTTCATATACCGGATCTTCCTTCGATGTATGCAAAGTCCTATTCTTTTTCCCGCTTAGTTGAGCTCACTGATCATCGCCTCTGCTTCGTCGGGGCTTATTAATGATTGACGATTTCGCAGGCGAAATAAAAATTTTGTGGGAATTTTCAACGAAAACGTATGCTTTACTCATCCCAATCGAGCGGTTTGACGAACCCGTTTTCCATGACTATTGTAAGATGAAGGGCAGATGTAGCACACTGGTTAGAGGCGCTCCGCAATAAAGATGGTATCGATCTCGCACCCCAGATTCACCAAACCTTCCATCTGCCCACGGTCCGCAAATTGGTGCAAGTCTTGTCTAGGAGGACAGAGACACTAACTCGATACATTGGTAGGCAACCGCAAGTCAATGTGTAGGTTAGGAACGCATTCAACCACCAACCACTTAATTGTAAGATATAAACAAAAAATATGTATTTTCGAGCAGTCCCAATAACAGTCGTATACAGTTCTTATGTAAGACGGCTCCACTCCTTGATCGACGAGCGTTAATAAGATTGCATCCGTTTTCACATTATTAATGGCTTTTGGTCGTCAATAAAGGTTGGAACAAGAGGCAGATAGTACTCGCGACAGACTCCTATAACCAGTAATGCGGTTCGAATGTGGTCCATACGGCAGAATCGCTCTATGTACTCTGCATGCTCAACTGGCTGCGTAGCAAAATATGCCTTCGATGTGCCCAAAAAAAATTTTTGCGAACACCTTGTACAGTACACTCAGCAAGCAAATTGGACAATAGTTCCGAAGATCTCTTCGATCACCATTCTTGGATACGACCGTGCGTGACGTAAGCCACAGATTTGGGATTTTTTTTTTCGAAGGTAGGATGTCAGACCGGTTGTGGGAAGTACGTAAACACTGAGGCTTCCAACTCTAAGAAAGTTGAAGGTGATATTATGCGATCCTGGAGCTGTTCCTTTTTGCATGCTTCCCATCGCAACGAGAAACTCATAAGAATTCCACGTGGTTTTTCTCCACCGAGAATTTCTGTGTTCCACAATAAGAATGCGGAACGAAAAAGAGTGTTATAGAACTCCTCCGTTATCGATTCCCATATTACGACGGGAAGTTCTAGTAACCTCACCTTCGTTCATCAGTTTTGACGATGCAAAATTATAGTTGCACAAGTACTGACGTAATTTCTAGTGACTGGTTTTTTTGTCCCTCTTCTAACAGTTTCTTCTCCCTGTACCCACGGATCTTCCTCATACGAGGCCTCTCGAGCCGGTTAGTCGCGAGACTATGTGGCGCGTCCCCAGGTGGCGGATAGAGGGTTAGTCGCGGACCGAAAGCGACCATTGCTTCCCAGAGACGCACGTGGATCCAGGGGATGGACACCTTGTTTCTGCTGCGCTGATTTGGCACATACTTTCTGTATTTGCTAGGCGTGTTCATGCATACGTGTGTGGGTGAATTCTTGCTTATGCGGATTGTATTCTACGAGTCAATTCGGCCAAAAGTCTGCAATCAAGTGACAGGGAAGTATATGGGAGGCGGTTAGGAGACGCTTGCAACTAGTAAGCTCCATGTCCACTCTGGGAGAGGTTGGCAAGCTACCCGTGAGCACAGCCCCACGTTCAGAGCCCAACAAGCTACACGTGGGTATCAAAAAAGCTAAACACAGTAAAAAAAAAACGGTCCTCATTCCCCTGACCCCGAAAGAGCCCCCAATTTCGCAGCGTTTGGTAGGACGAGTACGAAGATGCTGCTAGAATCTCAGAGCCAACGGAAGCTGCCAGGATTTCAAAGAACTATGGAGACGATCTGTACCTACAATGCACGCATACTTGCATCCGAGTTTTCGATAAAAGACTTGTTCATGCAAGCAAGAAGGATAAGGCACGACGTCATCGGCCTCGCCGAGACGAGAAGACGCCAGCCTTTCAACGCCGTCTGTAACACCGGAGAAGAACTGTTCGTCGGAACATGCGACAGTAGAGGAGTCGGCGGCGTCTGCGTTCTCGTTAACACGAGTTTGTCCATGAACATCGGCTCATTCGAACAGCTTACAACCCGAATCGAACGTTTACGATTAAGATGTGGATCAATTCCGGCTTTGACAATCGTCGTCGTTTACGCGCCGACATCAAACTATGACGAAGAAGAAGTCGAAGCGTTCTATTTGGGCTTGGAGAAGTTCTACAGAAAAGACCACACATTCTTCAAGGTCACCACAGAAAAATTTAACGGTAGGATTTGACCCAGGAGAACGTCTGAAGAACGCCACATTGAGACCCACGGATTAGAACGGAACGAACAAGATGAGCGGCTGTTTGAGTATATCATGGCGACCAAGACAATCCATGGTAACTCGCAATTCCAGAAGCCCTACCCTTAGCGCTGGACGTGGGAGTCTCCCGATGGAGAGTACCGTAACGAAATAGACTACACCATAGTAAACAGAAAGTTCTGACTAACCGATGTCGCCGTTGTCCCAAAATTCTACACGGGACTAGACCATCGCCTCCTTCATGCAAGATTCTAGTTCACGCGGAAGGGAGAAAAAGGGGCTAATTCCAAAACCGAAACCGAAGCCTCAGAAACACCGTAAACTGCGATTTATTCAATTCATTAATCGGCTGTTCGGAAGATGCCATTGTCGATAACATCGACGAAGAATACGATTGGCTCATTCAACACCTTCACGTTAGCGCTATGAAGGCTGAGAGTTCGAAAGTCACCAAGACACGTCTGTCTCCAGAAACACTCGAGCTGATACGCCAGCGTGGAATCGCACGAGCTGCAGGCAACCGCCAACTAACGTCCGAACTTGCATAACAATGCAGACAGCCGATAAGAGAAGATCTTAAAGAGAGAACAGCAGCAGTAATGGTCGAAGCTGCAGAGGTTGAGAAAAGCATTCGCAAAGCCCATCGATGTTTAGCCAATTACAAGACCAAAACGAATGCTCTCCGGCGCCCAAACGGAACAGTTACAGCGTCCAGAAAGGCAATGGAGAAAATCATTTACGAATACTACTCGGAACTCTTCGATAGCCACGTCCACCTTCCGTCATATGAAATAAAGGAGGATGGATATGTTGCGCCACCGGTTCTCCCTTCCGAAATCCGACAAGCCATTTCGTCGGTGAAAAACCGAACAGCACCTGGTCAGGGAAGGTTAAGACCAGAACACCTGAAGAACCTTCCGCCAGTCCACGCAAACATACTGGCTCGGTTCTTCACACTTTACCTGTCTAAATGCAAAGTCCCTACTCAGTGAAAGAAAAGGAAGACCGTGTTATTGTTCAAGAAGGCTGACCTACACGATATAGACATCTATCGCCCAATCTGTTTACTGTCTATCGTCTACAAACTTCTCACCCGAGTCATACTAAACAGGATTGACAGAACACTAGACGAAAGACAGCCATGTGAGCAAGCTGGGTTTCGAAGCGGACTGAGTACAATGAACCACATCCATACGGTAACACGCCTTATTGAAGTAACGTGAGAGTACAAAAGACCTCTGTCCCACTTTCATCGAATTACAGAAGGCCTTTGATTCAGTTGAGATAGAAGCAGTCTTGGAAGCCCTTGATAGTCAAGGAGTCCTTACTCAGTACATAAAGATTCTTTGCGACCTGTACAAAAATTTCACAACGAAGATATCACCATTCTACAACAATATTAACATCGACGTCAAAAGAGGAGTTAGGCAAGACGATACCATCTCGCCAAAATTATTTACCGCGACACTCCAGAACGTTATGCGAACAATTGAATTAGATAATATGGAAGTGAAAATCGACGTTCGGCAATTAAAACTTCTTCCCTTTGCTGATGACATCGTTCTTACAACACCAAACATTAGCCATGCGGAACGTACGCTTGACGACTTTGATAAAGCCTGTAGAAAGATTGGTTTTCGACTAAATCTCACAAAAACGATGTTCATGAAAAACGGATTGGCTTCGCATGCCCCATTCACGCTCAACGGAACGAATATCTCCAAATGCTCCAGTTATATCTATCTAGGTCAGGAAATCAATACGATGAACGACCTAGCTCGAGAGCCGAGCAGAAGGAAACGAGCGGCTTAGGGAGCTTTCAAGAGCATCGAGGATGTGGTGAAGAGAAAAAAAAACACCCGACTCCGCGCCCACCTTTTCGATTCAACAGTACTTCCTGCCCTAATGTATGCGTCAAAAACCTGGTCGCTGCGT